TGTGAGATGATAAAGGTATCTTACTCTCTGATCATTAAGGAAACATGCTATGTTGAAGTGCTGGCTTCTCTGACAACAATGCAGCAGCCAGTATGTCCTCCTTCTAACTTTAGATTCTGCTCCTGAATGCTCTGGATTTGTTTGGACCAGAGAAGGTAGGCGCTTTTAAGACACGCCCCCACACGACCGTTTTGGACACCCCTCTGTTTGTCAGATATGAGAGCAGTTATCAGGTCAACAGGTGTTGCAGCGATGGAAGCGGTCAAGAGAAGTGGTTCAGATAGAAGTGATTGTACCCGACCTAAAAAGCCTCTGCATGTTTCTAATAAGCTCCACGAGCAGAAACGTGCTCAAACTAGGATCAATATTGGAGATGCTTTTGAAAAATGGAGAGAGGTTAGAACACAGAAAGGTTTACAGACCCATGCAGAGCTGGATAAACACTGAAGCTTCAGAGTCCACCACATGGTGACCTGAGTGAGCATCCACTCTAGAGAGGAGGGGGGGGGAGACAGCTCTCTATGATGTTTAGAATTTAGACTGCAGTACCCATTTTAAACACTAGGGGTCAGAGTTACATATTGCTCCTTTAATGAATGAAGACAGACAAAAACACTGCGTTCATTTTTAAACATTTTAAGCTTTAGTTTCTGACTGTAAAGGCGCTCAGGTTTGATGTGCATTTACTTGTCAGGTCCGGCGTCTGAAGTCTCACCCGTCCATCGTGATCTGGAGCGGGAACAATGAAAACGAAGCGGCTCTGGCGACAGACTGGTTCAACATCCCCGTTACCCAGAAGCCCGTGTACCTGAAGGACTATGTGACGCTGTACGTGGACAACATCAGGGCAATAGTTCAACAGGTGAGAGTCAAAGCGTGTTTTTAATGTGCAGAAAAGATCATGTTTTTGTTGTTTTTACACATTTCTTTGATTTGAAATAATGAAATAGTGAAATTTAAAAATACACATAAATAAAAACAAGATGCAGCCATCATATCTCACCTTATCATAAATAAGCCATCATTTCCTTATATGTCCTACCTTTTTAACAAAGCTTTCTGCTTGTGCTTTTAGTTTTGTTAGTTGCTTAGTTGATAAATTTTGAGTTTTATTTTTGCAAAAATGTAAAGTGCGTTACAAATTACATTTATTATTATTATTATTATTATTATTATTATATAGAATGATTCTTTGCCCCTGGAGAAACAGTTTAATTGAATGGTTTCAGGTTTTATTTTGGGTCAGGAGTCTGCAGAATAAAAAGTGGTTCTCTTGTCTCTCCCGCAGGAGGACCAGAGTCGTCCGTTCCTCGTCTCCAGTCCGACAAACGGCGCCGAATCGGAGCAGGAGGGATGGGTGGCAGGAAACCCGTACGACCCTCACTACGGGGACACACACTTCTACAGCTACGTGCTGGACTGCTGGGACTGGAGGACGTTCCCTCAGACTCGATTCGCCTCCGAGTACGGCTTCCAGTCATGGCCGTCCTTCTCCACCCTGCAGCCCGTCAGTCAACAAGACTTTTCTTCATGTTTGGAATACTGTGGTCACTGAAGATCAGAAATATTTGGACTTTTGTGCCCCCATCCCTTACTTCCTGTTTCTGTTTCTTGATGTTTCAGGTGTCTGTGAAAGAAGACTGGAGCTACAGCAGTAACTTCTCCTCCCATCGTCAGCACCACGAGGACGGGAACCGGCAGATGTTGCTGCAGGCCGCTTTACACTTCAACCTGCCGAACTCCACAGATCCTCTGAGAAGATTCTCAGATACTCTTTACATCACTCAGGTAAAGCTCACAAACCGACCAACACGTCGAGTGGGATTCCTTTAAAGGAAGAATATGTGATTTTTCACACTTAAATATGATATAAATCAAGTATCTCCTCTGAAAATAACTCTGTGAGTCATGACTGTCTACAATGGGTGTAACACCCGAGTCCCACTGTCTGTGATGTTTTCAGAGTTTTCAGAGTCCTATCTTCACTTTGTTTACATCGCCAGGACGGCCGGCTGACTCCTCCCCTCATGTATAAAAGTTGTTTAATTGAGGGACTAGAGAAAAGAAGAATAACATACTGTACTCACTGCTTAACTGTGTTTCTAGATCACGCTCATTTCAGGTAAATTTACATGCAGTGTGAAGATACCAGCATAATAAAGATCGCTAGCATTAGCATGCTAACACAACAATGCAGCGCAAGTTGTTTTGGTTTCATGCTGGTGCTCAAGGGCGACATCTGCTGGATCAAAACATCACATATAAAGCCTTTAAGGCGGAATGAGTTTCTACAACTTTGCACACTTGGGTGCGACAGCTTCAGATGGTATTTAGTTTTTAGTGAAGAATATGGAAATATGAAACTACAAATTACACAACAGGAGAGATGAACCGTCTTCTGTCAGTCAGTCTGATCGAGTCAGGACGCTCTCATCCAAATATGCTCTCTGAAAATAAGAGCGTCGGTCGAAATGAAACCCTTCAAAGCGTTAGTGGTGACATCCTGTTCCTCTCCACAGTGTGTGTGTTTGCAGCTGATGTTCATGTTTAATGTGCAGGTCATGCAGGCCGAGTGTGTGAAGACTCAGACCGAGTTTTATCGGAGAAGTCGGAGCGAGATCGTCGAGGGAAAAGGTCACACGATGGGCGCCCTCTACTGGCAGCTCAATGACATCTGGCAGGCGCCTTCCTGGTCGTCTATCGGTGAGTGAACGACCCGAGATGAATCATCCCCGTTTTTAAAAATGAACTTTTTATACCTGTGTGTGTGTGTGTGTGTGTGTGTGTGTGTGTGTGTGTGTGTGTGTGTGTGTGTGTGTGTGTGTGTGTGTGTGTGTGTGTGTGTGTGTGTGTGTGTGTGTGTGTGTGTGTGTGGTGTGTGGTGTGTGTGTGTGTGTGGTGTGTGTGTGTGTGTGTGTGTGTGTGTGTGTGTGTGTGTGTAGAGTTTGGAGGGAAGTGGAAAATGCTGCATTACTTTGCTCAGGATTTCTTCGCCGCCGTCCTGCCAGTCGGGTTCGAGGACGCCGACACGCTGCTCATCTACGCCGTCTCGGACCTGAGCGACGACCTGCAGCTCCGGGCGGCGGTGTGTTTCCAACTCTGCACTCAATCTGTGTTTTTAATTTGCATCTGCACGTCTTAAATCTAAAAACGTGGCGTTCCTCTCTTCCTCAGGTGACCGTGTACTCGTGGGCCGATCCGGATCTGGCGTGCACCCTGAAGTCTGACCTGCTCCCGGTTCCCGGAGGCAGCGCTGTGGTTATTCTTAAGCAGCCTGTCGCCGCCCTGCTGGCAGGATGTGGACACTGCACCCGCCTCACTTGCCTGCTCACATTTCACTTGGAGGATGGCGGCGGCGAGCAGCACGGCCCCACAAACCACCACTTCCTGTGCTCGCCCAAAGACGCCGAGGGACTCCAGAGACCGAACATCACGGTGAGACGCCTCGTTTAAAAAAAAGAGTTTTAATGAATTAAAGAACCGTTTTTAAAATCATGAATGGACGCAGCGCTGGAGAAGGTCGCTGTCCCACATCCTGAGGGAAGGAAGCTTCCTTGCTTCCTTGCTCCTTTCTAGCCGTGTGTTTGTGTCCCCGCAGGCGAAGGTCGAGGAGGACGAGACGGGAGGAAGTTACTCGGTGACTCTTCACTCGGACTCTGTGGCTCCTTTCGTCTGGCTCGACGTGGGAAACGTCCCCGGGCGCTTCACCTCCAACGGCTTCCTGATGGTCACCAGGAGCACGACGGTCAGCTTCACCGCGTGGCGTCCCACCAGCGTCGCCGAGCTCTCCCGATCCCTCAGCGTCACGTCTTTAAGGGACGTTTACTGACCCGAGATACTGCAGGACTTTTCAGCGTGTTGAGGGAGATCAGACGAGGCAGCTGTTTGTGCCCTTTCAAAATAAAAGCTTCTACAATCTTATAATTTAATTAAGCAGAAGCTTTCCGTCTTTCTGGATCCTTTAAGTCCGGTTTGCTTTCTGCTGTATGTGCTGTGGCCGTGCAGAAGGAGAGACGCAATATTTAAACCGCTGAAGTGGATATTTTACAAACTTGTTTTTGTTGCCAAACAGCTGAGAAAAGTTTCCTGATAATGCTCGGAGCAGAAAAGCCTCAGACAACAGTCCGACCATTGTAGGGAACTTAAACTCTCCACAGAGTGAAACCCTGTTCTCAACCAGGAGAGCAAAAAACTCTTTAATGAAGCTTTCATGAACGTTTAAAACAATCTAATAAAACGCTCTTAATTCTCTGTCCTGTTTTATTCCTGACGAGAGACGGAGGAGAACCTTGTAACACTCTCACTTCCTGTTTTTAAAAAAATGAACTCTTGAGCCAAAGTGCTAATAAATCTCTCTGCACACCTGAGGAGTCATATCCGGTTATTACGGATTATTTACAGCAGTCTGTACTGTAGGTAAAATAAACTCATTCAATTGTTATTAATCAGTTCTTTTTTAAACATGGCAAAGCTTTAAATACTGAAATGAAAACCTGAATCATGTTTTTTAATCCTTCATCTTATAGATTCATGATTTTTTGGCATTTAATTCAGTTTATTGAGCTTTTTTAATACTAAATGTGTGTTAATAATGCAATTTTATCACATTTTCAACATATTTTTTGCCTTTTTAATTTGTAGTTTTTGACCTTAAGACCTTCAATTTTAATCATTTAGAGATGTATAAAAACATCCTACAAAGTATTTTAAAGTTTAAAAAACTGCAATTTAATTTCCATTTTTTTGATGAAGAAAGTCATCATGTGTCCTGCAGTGTTCTTCCGCTGCCACCAGGGGGCGACAGATGCTTTCTTATTTGTATTTTTTACAAATGTTTATGATTTTTTTTCTTGCTTCCAGCTGTTTTATTAATGACCTGAGGGAGACACAGCTGTAAAGTGGGACACACTGAGACACATCCCGCGTGATTTTACGTCTTCACGCGGTTACACACACACACACACACACAGAGACTAGGTCAGTGTGTGTGTGCGTGTGAGCACGTTGCATACCAAGTGAAAAAGTCAAGTCACAAAAGAAAGCTTTGAAAGAGTGAGTGCACATGGTCGGTCGGTCACCTCCATGTTTGCCCCTCCAGCCCTCTGCAGACCTGATCTTTGGACCTGATCCGCCTCAGATTGTCCTGATTGATCCCTCAGAGAGAGAGAGAGAGTGTGTGAGAGAGAGAGAGTGAGAGCTGCTCCATGAAATCTCTTGAATCTCTTGAATCACACAAACTGCTCAACTTTAAGGACGCCGCCCCCCGCGTGCAGCCATGGATCGGACAGAGGACTCGGTGATGTTCGGATCCTGCAGCTCACTCTTCTTTTTTTAAAGGGAACTTTTTAAGAAACCAGCAGAGATGTTGAACTTTAATGTTTTAGTAACGTGCCTTCTTCTTTTTATTCCAAAGTGTCAGAGTTTAAATGTGTCCGACCCGAGTGGTCACGTGTTTTTAGAGAACATTTTACGCTTTTACGGGGAGAATAAATCCATTTCCACGGAGAACCTGGAGGATTTACTGAAGCTGATCTCAGCCAGGAGGTCTCAGTCTGTGTCGGGGGGGAACCCGCTGGAGAACCAGGAGGTGAGGGCACCAAATGTTTTATTTTATTACCTTCATAATGATTATTTATTAATCTGAAGGGTGCTAATAAATCTCTGCACACTTGAGGAGTCATATCCGGTTATTACGGATTATTTACAGCGTCACATAAATCTGTACTGTAGGTTATTAATCAGTTCTTTTTGAAACATGGCAAAGCTTTAAATACTGAAATAAAAACCTGAATCATGTTTAAATACTTCTTATTGATTCGTGATTTTAAGGCAATTATAATTCAATTTATTGAGATTTTTAATACTAAATGTGTGTTATTAATGCAGTTATCACATTTTCGACATATTTTTTACATTTTGATTTGTAGTTTTTGACCTTTAGGTACATTTAAAACAAAGTACAAAGTATTTTAAAGTTTAAAAAACTGCAATTATATTTCCATTTTTTGATAAAGAAAGTAATTTCTTTGCACTTTTATTGCCGTTTATTTTCTCTTTCACTGTTTTTACTGTTTTTACTGTTTAAAAGTTTTTATTGATGCAAATCTGCTCTCAAACTCAGTTTTTTAAAATTTGTTTAAGGTTTATTTTGGGTCTTTTTACGCCTTTATTTAGAGACAGGACAGTGAATGTAGTTAGAAACCAGAGAGAGAGAGAGAGAGTGGGCCACAGGTCGGATTTGAACCCGGGCCGCCCGCTTGGAGGACTTCCTTACGTGGGGTGCACGCACTAACCACTAGTCCACTGGCACCCAAGAACAAACTTTAAAGGGTTGTCTTCTAAAAGAACAAACTTGAGTTGGTAGTTTTTCAATGTGTAGCAGTAAATACTTCAATGAAACATGTTTCTTCCGTACTATATTTGGCCTTTTTTTGTTGTATTTAGGACTTTATATTTACTTTAAACAGGCCATTTGGAGATTTTCCCATCATGACATCACAAAGGGCAGTAACCCCTGCTGGTGATAAATGTGTAAATAAACACGTCAGAAGACGGCAAATGCAATAAATAAAAAAAACATTCAATAACAAAAGTCCTTGAAACCAATAAAATGAGATGTCTGATATTGTCTTTGCGGCCCCTCAGTGTCAGTCGGCAGACGACATCTTGTCCCACTTCGGGTTCGGTAATGTGAGCCAGCTGACGGTGGGACATCTGGGGAGGATCTGCCCGGCCGTGTTGACCCAGGTGCTGCTGCCCTCCTGCCCCTTCACCGCCCCCGAGCCCTCGTCGACGCTCGACTACACGGGTGAGTTGCTTCATCGTGTCAAACGCCGGCTTTATTTGTTAAACCCCCCGCAAGTCAAATAATTTCACAGGTCACCGGGGTTTGTTGCCTTTGATCGGGTCTGGCAGGACTTTCATCCACGGTGACGCCGCTCAGACATCATGACTGAGTCGAAAAGAGACGCTGCACTTCAGAATCAGAATCAGAATCTGGGTTTATTGCCAAGTACATTCACACATACAAGGAATTTTTGGTTTATTGGTGCTTAACAATTAACAAGGAAATAAAGCAGAACTAACAACAACTTAAATAATACAGAATAAGAAGATATTACAATATATAAAATAGAATTTAAAAATGTCAAATATAAAAAACACAAAATGTACAAAAGGTGTGATGTAGGAGCTGTGCAGTGGACTGAGAAAAAACCTTAGTGTTTATTCAGTGTTTGATTCCTTTTCAGCTGGTAGATTAAAAAACAAGAAGAAGAAGAAGATGGGTTGAAGTCTTTCCTTCTCTCGTTAACTTTTTTTACATTAATCGTCTTCTGCTCGCAAAAAAGAGTAATGTGTGATATTTGTGTTTGTCTCTGGTGTGAGCTGCTCGAGCCTCTAAGAGCTCAGGAACACCTGTTGGCCATGCTGCAGGCCAAATGGTAACCCCTCTTAAACGTCCATGCACCCAGACTTCAGATCAACCCTCCTCTCTTACGCTGAAGTGTGTGTCTGTTCCACTTCACCAGAATCACTCATTCAGAAAAACATTCAGAAAAACATTCAGAAAAAAACAGAAACAAAATCAGGAAAAAAATCAGAAAAAAAACAGATTTTTTTTGTTGAGGACTTGGGCATCAGTCTGCCCCTGAAACTCTAACCCACCTCTGTTCCTTCATATGATCTCACACTGGCTGATTAAG